ATATGCTGACTCTGTAAACCACTTAGAGAGGGCTGACAGCCCTATGAAGCGGTATATAAGTCTAACTATTGCTATTGCTAGTCATAACTGGGCTATTCCGGCAGGCCTGGGGCTGTTGACCTCACGAATGAGGTCCAGCCCCATCTAGATTGAGTGTATTATGTGTTGCTTTTTAATCTGTTTTTCTCCTTCCTTATTTTTAACTTTTTATCTTTTTAGTCCTGTATTTTGTAAGCCGCCCGGAGTCCTTCAGGATTGGGCGGCATATAAATTCATTAAATTTACAATTTTAATTTACAATTATTTCTTCCCTTATCCTTCCACTATTTTCAATCCCCTTTACCACTAAACATGGCCCAAAAGCCAGTCTTTTCTTCCTAGGAAGAAACGGTACCTGATCATCATCATCATGGACAGATTTGATAGTTGAAAGAGGTTAAATTCCTGAAATATTAGAAACATCACCTGTTTAGCTATACAGAGCTATATGAAATCTCGTTCAAAAGTCCTGTGGAATGTCAGCAGAGTCCCCCAAACTCTTATCTCTCAAGCATTTCCATTTGTGCCAAAAGTTAGGCTAGATACACCTCCCATCTCTAGAAGATGGCAAATTGCTGAACCTAGTCAATTTGGCCAAGACCTTTCTTTGATTGAATGGAAAACCATATGCTCCATTTTCCCATGAATCTGGGATTCTTTCCCCAAGGACTTAAGTCAGGAGCAGTTCCTAGAGCTACTGGCTTCTAAGGGGATTAGAAGAGGGAATTTATTTTTGTCCAGCAGAACGTGGGTCTTCCAAGTCAAGTACCATCACTTTCCTTTCTTCAGGCTGCCTTGTCGGTCTTTGACCAGCCTAAAGCTCGGTAGAAGCCACGGACAATACGGTACATCCAGATCAAATTGAGCACTTCCAAAGCAAGGCTTGGCCCGATCCAGGCCAGTTGTACACCCAGGCCTAAACGTTCATATTCAGGCGTTCCATACCAAGAGTACACCTGCATATAATAGCTGGGGATGACAGCAATGCGCACCATAAAGAACGCTACCATCATAGCAAAGCCATTGGCCAGAACAAGGCTTGAAGTACGTGGCCAGCCAGCGGCATCCAGGAACCACCTGAGGCAACACAAAATGTAAAAAAACAAAAAGAAATCAAATGGATGTCAGTCCATTCAGATTCTCTGCCTCCCCCAGTAAAGCAACAGCACAAAAATCACTCTCAGAATTACAACAGGTAATTAAAATAGATATGTCCATGCAAGAGCCGATTGTCCAAGAGCCGAGGTGGCACAGTGGTTAGNAGCATTGATACCCTGTGATGGTGTCCTGATTCTAGGGGTGCAGAGCATGTTAAGCAAGGATTAAACCCCTTTTCTGAATGACAACAGCTGGTGAGAAACTAATCCACCAATCACAGGACAGCTGATTTTCAAAGGTGGCCACCTCCTATTTTATTAATGTAATTTAAATAAAGGAAAATGTAGTAGGAAGGCTCGAATTGAATCCTTTGGTCAACGGACCAATGTACTTTTTCATTAAATGCTATTGTTATTAAGGCTGGCTTTAGATCAGTGTTTCTCAACCTTGGTGACTTTAAGTCCTGTGGACTTCAACTCCCAGAATCCCCCAGCCAGCGCAGCTGCGCTGGCTGGGTGATTCTGGGAGTTGAAGTCCACAGGACTTAAAGTCACCAAGGTTGAGAAACTCTGCTTTAGATAGATAGATTTACTCTTTCTCTGAAATTAGCAATAACTAGCCATGCAACACATGGGCATATTCCTTGTACACCAGTGTGCTGTGATATTCCATGTTAGCAAATCAGACATTAGTAAGTTTGTCGAATTTTCTACAACGCTATTGTTCTTCTAGGTTTGTGTTGATACTACCTAAGTTTCAACTAGTCCTCTGTCCATCTGTTGGAATTCGCAGGTTTCAAAATTCTTAAAATGAATTCTACTATTAAGACTTGCCCTATCTTACCCTTATACTTTTGGCGACTCTGATGCAGAACCAATATCACGCTAACCTGTCTCTTTAATGGTGGCTGTGTTCGCACGTATCAGGATGAAAAACAATTGTAGCAGAAGAAGAAAGGCATAGAAACACAGAGGGGAAAGCAAAAAAGCTTCTGTTAATGGCTTTTGGGGGAAAGGGAATCTTGCACCAGCTATTTATTTAGACTCCCGAGAACAATGAAACGTTCAACAAGTTCAGCCTAGTGTGGTAGTACCTGTACCCTTCCATAGGGATGCATTGACTGAGGCATACGCTTGGGAGTGAAGAAACTTCCACTGTAAACTATTGGTGGGAAGATGCGGTTGTCATATACAAGAATGGCAACCACAAGAAGGAATGACACCAGAGTGGAAGATAGCCATATGGTGGATGGGGATTTTGAGAGTTGTATTCCTGGCACATTTGGAGGCACCTGATATCAATTTAGTTTTGATATATCCGAACCACGGAAGTGTGCCTTGATGCTAGCCTTGTTAAAATTTATTGTTTTCTGGTTTTTAGAAATTTAGCTGCTATTGTGTAAGCAAGTTCTTCACCGGAATGCCAAGTTTCAGTTGATTTAGTAAAACAAGGATGCTTTTTACAGTATTGCTGTCCTTCTAGCGAAGGTCCTGAAATCCAGCCACTGGGTCCTGGGAAATCCCACCATTTGTAGTCATAACTGGGCATTGTAGTCGAGCCGAGGTGGCGCAGTGGTTAAATGCAGCACTGCAGGCTACTTCAGCTGACTACAGCTGACTGCAGTTCTGCAGTTCAGCTGTTCAAATCTCACCGG